CGCGGATGCTGTCGATGAGCCTGTCGCTGCGGGCTGGGGCGCATGTGAGGTGGGCGTGCAACAACGCTGGTGACGTGTCCTGTCGACGGCGGAGGAGTACGCAGCGGCTGGTTTTGGCGGCGCTGGGAGCATCAGCGTTGCTGGGTGCGACGCCTGCGACAGGGACACTTACTGCTACGCGCCCAGGACTGCGTCGGCGAGCATGAAGGACGGTGTGTGCGTGTGCGCGTGCGGCAGCGGCGGGTACGGCGAGGCGTGCGTGCCTGTGGATGCTCCCGCGCTGCCGCCTGCTGTGGGCACTGCGTCGAGTGTGTTTGTCCGCGAGGGCGTGACGGTGCGGTCGGTGTTTGTTGTGCCTGCCGGTGCGAGCGAGGTGACGCTGCGCCACGTTGTGCTGGACGGCGTGAGTCCTGTGCTCTACGTGCCGTGGATGGCGCGGGACGGCGTGCGGATCGTTGTGCAGAACGTGTCGCTGCTGAACGGCGCCGTGCTGTACGTGATGGGCGGTGGAGCGTTGCGCGGTGCGGGTGCGGCGGAGAGCGACGAGAGCGGGCCGGTGGAACTGTCGGTGTGCGATGTGGAGGCCCTGAACGGTGCGCTTGTGCTGACCGGCACGTTTCCCGCGGGGTCCGTGCTGACGGTGACGGACTCCCTGCTGGTGGCCGCGAGGTCGACGCCGCTTGTGTATCTTCCCGGCTCGCAGTCCTCGCCGTACGCACCGGTGCTGGTGCTGTCGGGCCTGCGGCTTGTGCGGTCCGTGATGGTTGTGTCTGGCGTTGCCCTCGTGACTGTGATGACTGGTGGGCGGACGGTGGTGGTGGACGGCGCGGAGCTGGAGCTTGTCGGTGGCGGTGTCGCGGTGGACGCGGCTGTGTTCGGTGGCGAATATGCGTTGTACGCGAGTGCGCGCGTGGTTGCGTCTGAGGGCGCTGTGCTGCGCGTGTCTGGGAGCCAGGTGTACGCCGCGCATGGGTTGGTGTTTGACAGCGGAGTGGAGGCCAACGCGTCCGCCGTCGTGGTGAACGACAACGCCGGTGCGCTGACCGATGGCGCGCTGCTGGAGCTGCGGGGGTCGGCGTCGTTTGCGTCCGGGTCGTGGTTGTCGGTGCGCGGCAACAGCATCAGCGGCAGGCTCCTTTCGCTGCCGTCGTACCCGCGCAGTGCGGAACTTGTGCGGAGCACGCTGACGCTCCACGGGAACGCCGGCAGTGGGTCCTTCGTGATGGACGGCACCGTTGCGCTCGGGGGTGCCGGCCGGAAGTTCGTTGTGGGGTGCCTGACGCTCAACGGGCAGGCGCTGCGGCCGATGGACTACAGGTCCGCCGGCATCATCGGGGAATTCCGCCCCGTGGCGTGTGGCGTGTGCGACGCCGACGTGCACTGCTTTGCAGCTGCGACGAGGGCGATGTCGGTGTCGTGCGGCTGCCGCTGTGCTGAGGGCGGGTACGGGCGCGACTGCCTGCCGGTGTACCTGCCGCACGTGGACGGATGCAACCGCACACCCGGCATGCCGCTGCTGAGCCACACGGCGACGCTGACGGAGACGCGCAGCCTGACGCCGACATGGACGCCAACACCGCGCCTGAGTACAGCGCACTACAGTTCGACGCAGTACGGGCCGACGGAGACCCTGCAAGTGACGGAGACGGTGGCGCTGCCGCCTACGCGGACCCCGACGGCGTCGGTGAGCAGCACGCTGTGGGGAGCGAGGTGGCGTGCCCGACGCTTGCTGTGACGACGACGGCGGCTGGTGGGAGTCTGACGCAGAACGACATTCGCGGCGGTGGGAGCGCCGTCCCGACATGGCTGGTGGTGGCGCTGCCGCCGCCGTTTCGTTG